ACACAAAACATCAAAGTATAGATGTGTCAAACAACCTAACAGACTGTTAGAAAAGCAGGTGTTTGCTATGGCCCAAATGAACGGGTAATAAGGAATGTAGGTGGGCAAGAAGGCCAGGCAGAGAAAGACATATCTTGCTGGAAGTGATTGCTTATGGGTAAACAAAAGGACTGAAGGGGATGGTGCAATGATCGTGCCTCTGAGAGTATGTGGTGGGCTAAATAATGACCCCCAAGGATTTTTACATCTTAATTTCTTGATTTCTGAAACCCGTAAATGCTACCTTTTATGCAAAAAGGGCTCAGAAGTTCTGATTAAATCAAGAATCTTGGGTTGGTGAGGTTATCTTGCATTACCCCAGTGGCCCTTAATGCAATCACAAATGTCCTTATAAGAAGGAAGCAGAGAAGATTTGATTACAGAAAAAAAAAATCAGCCAATGTGATGATGAAAGAAGAGATTGGAGTGATATGCTTTGAAGATGGAGGAACAGGCAATAAGCCAAGGAAAACAAGAGGCCACTAGAAGCTGAAAAAGTCAAGGAAACAGATTATCTCTTCAGAGCCTACAGAAAGAATCAACTCTGCTGATAACTTTGCTTTTAGCCCCATTAGACTTCTGGCCTCCAATACTCTAGGAGAATAAAATTGTGTTGTTTTAAACCACTAAATTTCTTATTTATTTATAGTAGCAATAGGAAATTAATACATAGTACTTAAGCCAAAGATTACAGAATTGAATTTCTCATTTACTATAATGCAGTTCCAGAAAATCAATAACAAAGGACTTCAGTGGTTGGGGAATATAGCAAAATGCCCACTCGTCTGCCTCGGTGATCACTTCTAGAAAGGATATCTCCTTTTATCCCAAATATAAGTTCACTACACACTGTCATAGATTCAAATCCTCTGCTACTTGCTAGCCGTGTGGCCTTGAGTAAGTTACTGAACCATTCTGAACTTATTATCTCATCTGTAAAAATGAGACAATTATACATATTTCACAGGGTTTCCATAAAATAAAGGATATAAAGGAGGAAAGGCAGACAATCCATATTAGGATCCTAGAAAGTGCCAAGTATCAAATACCCAAGAAGAAGGACACGGCTGAGGTGGAAACAAGGAAGATCTTAATGACTGTTATTTCGAAATGAAATCCAGACCCACTAGCTAAGGTAGATGTCAAAGGCCTTATCCAGCTGGTGTCACACACAGACAAGGGCACCTGGGCAGGGAAGACAATGAGACAATGGCTGTAACTGGAATGAGGAGGCGGGGAGGAGTGACCTTGAAGATGGCCATTGAAAGGGCTACATTTTACCAAGAAGATTGAGATGTTTAAGGGGCAAAAATCAAGAAATCTTCTTCTAGAAGTTTCTTCTAAATAAAACTGAAGGATATGGAATGATGTTAGAAATGGACTGTTTCCCTAAGGAGTAAAGAGCAAGGACATTATTTGAGATGTATCTGAGAATGGTTAAGATAAGTTCTGGCTCTAATACTAGAAGAGCTAAAGCTAAAGCTCTTCTAGTATTAGAGGCCTAGGGGAATTGTGGTATGGATGCTCAGGAGAAAAACAACCCTTGGCTGGGCATGGGTGGCTCATGTCTGTAATCCCAGCACTTTGGGAGGCCAAGGAGGGTGGATCACCTGAGGTCAAGAGTTTGTGACCAGCCTGACCAACATGGCAAAACCCCATCTCTACTAAAATTACAAAAATTAGCTGGGCATGGTGGCAGGCACCTCTAATGCCAGCTACTCAAGAGGCTAAGGCAGGAGAATCCCTTGAACCTGGGGGAGTGGAGGTTGCAGCGAGCCAAGATCGCACCACTTCACTCCAGCCTGAACAAAAGAGCAAAACTCCATCTCAAAAAAAAAAAAGAAAGAAAGAAAAAGAAAAAAAAAAACACATTTGCCCAAGCCTTAAACTGGGGACATTTTTTTCAGCATTGGAATAAGCTGTATCAGTACACCTACATATTACATAAAACTCTGGAAACCTTTGAATTCTGAGATTCATATGTCATCCTGTTTTATAAGTCATTGTCTTAATGATGAACACTCTTTCACTTAGTAAGCATAAGACATTTCTAAGGAACCAGAAATCTGATAGTTTCACTGTATTAGGCCATTTTGCATTGCTATAAAGAAATGCCTGAGGCTAGTTAATTTTATAAAGAAAAGAGGTTTTATTTTGGCTGATGGTTCTGCAGGCTGTTATGAAGCAGTGCCAGCATTTACTTCTGGTGAAGCTACAGAAAGCTTGCAATCATGGAAGGAGGCAAAGGGGGAGCCAGTACATCACATGGCAAGAGAGGGAGCTGGAGAAACGGAGGGGAGATTCCAGGCTCTTTTAAACACCAGGCCTCACATGAACTCATAGAGTAAGAATGCACTCATCACCACAAAGTCAACATCAAGCCATTCATGAGGGATCCTACCCCATGACCCAAACGCTTCCTACCAGGCCCCACCTCTAACACTGGGAATCACATTTCAACATGAGATTTGTAGGGGACACACATCTAAACCATATCATTCTGTCTTTGGCCCCTCAAACTCATGTCCTTCTCACATTGCACAATACAATCATCTATTCCTAACAATTTCTTAAAGTCTTAATTTGTTCTAGCATCTCTCAAAAGTCTAAAATCCAAAGTGTCATCTGATTCTCAAAGCAATTTCCTTCAACATATGAGCTTATAAAATCAAACACAAGCTATTTACTTCCAAGATACAATGGTGGTACAGGCATTGAGTAAACATTCCTATTCCAAAAGGGAAAAATCAGTCAAAAGAAAGGAGTAAGAGGCTCATCCAAGTCTGAAATCCAGCAAGGCAGTCATTAAATCTTAAAATTCCAGAATAATCTCCCTTGGCTCCATGTCCCACATCCTGGACACACTAGTGTGAGAGATGGGTTTCCAAGGCCTTGAGAATCTCTGCCTCTGTGGTTTTGCAGGGTGCAGCCTCTGTGGCTATACTCACAGATCTCACAGATAGCTCCACTAGGCTGTTCCCCAGTGGAGACTCTTGTGAGGGCTCCAATGACACATTTTCCCTTGGCACTGTCCTAATAGAGCCTCTCTGTGGGGCTGTGTCCTAAAGCAGGCTTCTTCTTGAGCACCCAGGCTCTTCCATACATCCTCCGAAATTGAGGTGAAAGCTGACAAGCCTCTTTCACTCTTGCATTCTGCACACCTGTAGGCTTAGCACCATGTGGAAGCTGCCAAAGCTTATGGCTTGCACCCTTAAGAGCAATGACCCAAGTTGTACCTGAGCCCCTTTCAGCTGCACAAGGCAGAAGGACCCAGGGCCTGGCCCCTGAAAACATTCTTTCCTCCTAGGCCTCTGAGCTTGTGATGGGAGGGGCTACCTCAAAGATTTCCAAAATGTCTTCATGGCCTTTTCCCTATTGTCTTGGATATTACTAGCTATTATTATATAATAATATATTATTTGATAATAGCTCTTAGCTCCCTTTTAGTCATGCAAATATATCTAGCAAGTAGTTCCTCCACTGGTCACTTGAATTCCTCTCCTGAAAACATTCATTCCTTCTCTGCCACATGGTTAGGCTGTGAATTTTCCAAATTTTTATGCTCTACTTTTCTTTTAAATGTAAGTTCCAACTTTAAGTTATTTCTTTCCTCCCATACATAATTGCACTGCTAGAAGCAGCCATATCACATCTTGAATACTTTACTGTTTACAAATTTATTCTGCCAGATACCCTAGGTCATCTTCTTAAGTTCAATCTTCCACAAATTTCCAGGGTATGGACACAATGCACCAAGCACCAAGCTTGGCAAAGGCATAGCAATGGTGACCTGTGCTCCAGTTCCAAATAGCTTCCTCATTTTCATCTGAGACTTCCTCAGCCTGGCCTTTGCTATCCATATCTATCAGTATTTTGGTCACAACCACTTAACAAGTCTCTAAGAAATTCCAACATTCCCCCATCTTCCCATCTTCTTAGCCCTCCAAACTCTTCCAACCTCTGCCGATTACCCAGTTCCCAAGCTTCTTCAACATTTTCAGGTCTTTATAGCAACACCCCACTTCTCGTGATCAATTTTCTGTTAGTGCATTTTTGCATTGCTATAAAGAAATACCAGAGATTAGGTAATTTGTAAAAAAGAGAAATTTAATTGGCTCCCAGTTCTGCAGGCTGTACAGGAGGCATGGTTCTGGCATCTGCTCCTGGTGAGGGCCTCAGTGAGTTGCAATCATGATGGAAGGCCAAAAAGGAGTTGGTGTATAACATGGCAAGGATGGGAGCAAGAAAGAGAAGGGAACAAGAGAGAGAAGGGAAGGGAAAGTTCCACACTCTTTTAAGCAACAAGCTCTCACTTGAACTACCAAAGCAAGAACTCACTTATTACAATGAGGATGGCACCAATCAATTCATGAGGGATCTCCCCACATGACCCAAACAGCTCCCACCATGCCCTACCTCCAACATTGTGGATTATATAATAATATATATAATGTGAATTACATTTTAACATGAGATTTTGAGGGAGCAAACCTTCAAAACATATTGATCACACTCGCACACATACAGACACAGAGAAAAAGGGTGGGTAGAGACTGTAGTCCCAGCTATACTGGAGGTTGAAGCAGGAGGATCGCTTACACCCAGAAGTTTGACGCTACAATGAGCCACTGCATTCCAGCCTGGACTGTAACAGAGTAAGAACCTGTCTCTTAAAAAAAAAAAGTGGGGAGAAGATAGACATGGGGCAAGGAAGGCAAAGAGAGGATGGAAACTCAGGGATAGAAATCTATTTCAGCTTTAGCCAGAAGCATTCCTTGACAGTGCTCACCAGCCTGCACTTTCCACACTAGTACAGATTTATAGCTCCTTAAGAGAAGGGAGTGGGGAAAGGACAGTTCTGTCTCGTGCCTTTATCAGGGACTCCTCCCTCCTTTCTATTTACTGGCTATGATCAAACATCTAAGCTTTATAAAGCAAGCTAGTGGTTGTCCTTTCCAAAGCCTCACTCAGCACACCTTCTGTCACAGGAACAAGCATCCAATGAGGAAAATGAACACACTGCTCCTTGCGAGCTTATTTCTCCTCTACCTCCAAGAGGGTAAGTTTGAATAATGTGGGTGGAAGGAAGCAACTTAGGGGTACTGTTCTCTAAACCTCTACTCTCTAGTGTCATTCACATGCTGCAGCTCAGACCTAAAGACTCAATACAATCTGAGTTTCAGGATGTCAGAGAGATCATATATAACACACTAATCCAGAAGAAAATGTACTGATTGCAGGGCAACAGGACAGCAATTTTCAGACTTCAAATTAATTAACGTTTCATCCATACTTATCTCATTTTGGTCCCCTGCTCTCTTGATACACTTTTCTCCTTTATTCTCTCCTACACTCTAGTTTTCCTCCTGTGTATTTTGTAGGATTCTCTATTCTACCTGATCACTAAACACTGAGATATCTCAAGGCTTTATACTATCCACTCAGATACCCCTTTATATCATCTTACTCACTTCCATGGCTTCAATTACAATCTATCTGCTGGAAATGCCTGATTTGATATCCTAGCTAGATTTCTATTCTGAGCTTCAGTCTTTCATCAACAAACATCTCCTACACTTAGAAGTTATCCTTGAAATCTCCCTCTCCCTTAACACTCACTAAAAAGTAATGAATAATTCCTATGCTTTCTACCTATTAAATGTACTTCAAATATGATTATATTTCTACCTTATATTTCTATTTTTCTACCTTTTGACACTTAGTATGAAATAATAAACCATAAAAGAATTATAAGAAAATGTGACATAATTTGTTTATAAGCTTAGAAATAAGAAAGGCCTTTCTAACTATGACTCAAAATCCAGAGTTCTTAAAAGAAAAACTGACAAATTTGACTCATGAAAATCAAAATATTCTTCATGACAAAAATAAAAAAATGCAACTTACATCACAGACATGTAATGCTTCCTGTTAAAAAAAATCAAAAAGGAAAAGGCCAACAACCTAATAGAAAAATGGGCAAAGTATGTAGATAGTTCACATAAAATGAAATAAAAATGGCTATTAAACATATAAAAAGTGCTCAATCTCACTCATATTATGAAAAATGTAAATTAAAAGAACACTAAAATACCATTTATCAGATTGGCAACATCCAGAAATTTGATAAAATATTCAAGTATTAAAGTTGTAGTGAGACAAGAATTTTCCAAGCATTGATAGCAAGAGAATAACTAGTTATATCTCCTCTGGAGGGCAATTTGGCAATACCTATTAAAATTACAAAAGTGTTTACTTTTTATCTAGTAATTCTGCTTATATGAAATTATCTTACAGATATACTCCCACACAAATGAAATATGTTTGGCATTATGTATTTCAGCAAATAATATCAAAAAGTGCAGATAGCTTAAATTCTCATAAGTACGGAACTGGTTAATTCAAGCATGGTACAGCTCTACAGGGGAATACTATACAATTAGTATACATCATTCAAAAAAATCAAAGTGCAGAGTATGTATAGTATATTACCAATTATGAAAAGGAGGTAAAAAGATACATGTACATATTTATATTTGCTTGAATACAGTGAAAATCAATATGAAAGATATAAAAGAAATGACTAAAACTGGTTTCCATTATTAGTCAGATGAAAACTGGATAACTAGCTGGCAGGAGTGCGAGGTCAACTTTGCACAACATTCTTTTTATATTACTTACATTTAGTCACATCAAAGTATTACCTATTTTTAAATAATACATTTTTTAATGTTGAAGTTGAAAATACTCAGAGGTTAAAGATCAAAGAGACTATTATCTGAAGAGCATTATCAGTGCACTGTGCAGCTTGCTCCAAACTCCTGTGAGAGAGGGAACCCTCATGAGAGTTGCTTCAGGGAGAAATTGATAGTGTCCTCTGGTGTTTGAAAGGCACAGTGAGCTTGAGGAACCTAAAGGTGAGAGGGAGCCTGTGGCTACAGCCCTGAAATGGTGGAACTGAGAAACAGCTGAGCTGCATTACATACAAGCAGGGAGGATGTGCATACACTCCTGTGGATCTGATCTGGGCCATGCTGTATCAAGCAAGTCAGGCTTGAGCTGTTTAAAGTTCTATCCAGGAGGGCTGTCTGGAGGAACGAAGTATTTTGGAAAGAAGTGGGCCACTAACTTCTTACAGCTGAAAGAAAATATAACCACCACCTGGGGGAAATACCCTGCCCACAATACAGCAGTGGATTTGAATATTTTTGTGGGGGAAAGCCTGAAGAACCCACAAATGTACCCCTGACTCTAGGAACTCAAGAAAATGAATTCTCCTGGCTCAAGAAAATGAGTCAGCTTTTATTAAACACAAAGTCCAAGAGATTGGGTTTTAAGTAACTACCATGGACAACAGATGATGGCATTAGAGCCAGTCCAATGAAATCTTTCCTGTCCTTTACCTGTCCCTCTCCTGCTCACCAAATGAAATGGGTCAGAAACTATCACTCATAAGCCAGAGGTGAGTAGGAGGAAACCAAGACAGAGAAATAGAGAGAAAGTCAAAGCCACCCCCTCCTGCCCATTACAAACACCTAAGCAAGTCTGAGCTATGTGTCTGTGCATAGGTGTGTGCATGTGTGTGGGTGTGCATGGGTATACTGTTGGTGAGAAACATGGGCTTTTAATGAAATGGAGCTATTTATTATTACTGCATGGGACTCAATGCATAAATTACTGAACCCAGATTATTCTTGTGCCCAAAAGTGATGGCAAGATTTCTATTTCCTAAAAGTACATAGACAAGTTAAGAGCCTTGTCTGAAATTACCTGCAGGACTAGGAGAACTCACTTCAGAAAGAGGACTCAAATGGGTAGTGGGCAGAAGAATAAAATTGTTTTCTGTTTGCACATTTTAAGTCCCATGTTGACCTGCTAGATAAATGTAAATGGGATTAGATCACTTCCTTGCTTAAAATTTTTCAATAAATTCTCATTGATCATGGATCAAAAACCATACTCATGTCTTTGGCCTAGGAGGGTTCAGGAAGTTGAATTTCTGCTTACCTGCCCAGCCATGTCTCATAGCACAACCCACTCCATTCTCTGTGCCCCGGTTACATTAGCATTTTTGTTCCTCAATAGACAAGCTTTGTTCACTGCTGTTCCCTCCGCCTGAAATGTTCTTCACTTTGCTCATACCACATCACCCACTTACCTGGCTGACTCTTATTTATCATCAGGCTTCACCTTACGACCCATTCCCATGGAAGCCTTCCTTGGCTCTCTAAAATACATTAGTTCTTCCCTCTTAAATGTTCTCATTACATGTTTAACTATTTCTTGATATTACAATACAACTATACCTAATGGGGGGGGGTGTTTAATGCCTGTCTCCCCAGCATGTATGTAAACACTTGTTTCCTTTTGCATTCTCAGCACCTGAAACAATGTCCAGAATGTGGAACATGCTCAAAACCCAGCAACTAATGTCATCCTTTCCCTCTAAATAAGAGAAAAAGAGGAGGCTGTTCACTCTCACCTAAGTCTAACCTACTTAAAAGCCAGCTCAAGTCTTTAGCTAAAGTATTCCCCTACTTTTCCAAACCACAGTAATCTGCCTATTGCTATACTCTTAATCTGCATCACAGGATTTATCTCGGTTCAGTAATTTATGCATTGAGTCCCATGCATATATTATCTTGCTCTTGTTATTATTTCACATGTTAACTTGTCTTCAAATATAGATGGACCCTATTCAGGTCACAGAGACTGTGTGTTACCTTTTTTATCCACCTCCTAGCTTAATTTACAAAACTACATTAATCAAGAATTCTACAAATAACAGCTAATGGAGTGAGTGGACAGTATAGTCAACATGCAACCTCTTATGAAAACTCATTTTCCCATAATCCCACTATTTAGCCTGAATATTCTATTCTCTCCACCCTGCAGTTACGGGTCTGAAGTGTAATACCTGCATATACACAGAAGGATGGAAGTGTATGGCAGGCCAAGGCACTTGCATTGCAAAAGAAAATGAGTTATGTTCAACAACAGCCTATTTCAGGGGTAAGTGGGGCTCATGAAGACTCCAAAAATGCCTCAAAGAACCATCACTCTTGCTAGTGCCTGGGATAAAGAACTCAATATCATTAAGCCCTGCTAGAAGGTAAGGCAAGGAATAAAAGAGGAGGCAATAAGAGATAATTTCCAACTTTGCACTGTGGGGTTTGGTATCCAGAGCCAGATAGGGTGGTGATTGGGAATATGAACCCAGGAGCCAGGGAAAGAGACTCAGTGTTAAGTGCTGTTCCTCTTGGTGCTGAGATTTAGTAAGTCACTATTAAGACAATCTCCTCCAGCACTTATAACAGGCTTCTTTATTTTTAGGAGAAAAACATATGCACTCAACACATATGTGTAAGTATAAGTGCCTGGAAGAGGAGTCCTACAAAAAAGACCTGTTGAGAGTGACACTGTGCTTTGACAAAAACTTCTGTAATGCCTTCTAATGGAGCTTATGAACTTGCAGAGGATCTTCTGTTCGAGATTCAGAATTGAGACCAACCAACATGAACTGTTTTATTTCCTACACCAAATTTCATATTGGCCTAAGATCCCAGAGAGAGCTGCAGGGGTCGTGTCCTCATTACAATGAAGGGGCTCCCCACACCAACCTCCACCATTAGACCCCTAAAATCATGAGCATTGAAACAAAATCCTCCATGAGCTGTGCTTACTCTTTTGTCTTTTACTCCTGATTTCTGATTTCTATCCCTATGGTAGGGTAAATAATGAACCCCCAAATATTTTTACATCCTAATCTCTGGAACCTGTGAAAGTTACCTTAAATGGCAAAAGGGACTTTGAAAATATGATTAAGGATCTTGAGAAGGGGAGGTTACCTTGCATTATCTGGGTGGTCCAAAGTGCTATCAAAATCTCCTTATAAGACGCAAGTAAAGGGAGATCTGACACAGAAGAAGAAAAGACGATGTGACAATGGAAGCAGAGATTGGAGTGATGTGCTTTGAAGATGGAGGAACAGGCCATAAGCGAAAAACTACAGGAGGCCACTAGAAGCTGAAAAAGTCAAAGAAATAGATTCTTCCCTTAGAGCCTCCAGAAACCGGCCCTGATGCCACCTTGATTTAAGCTCTGTAAGACTCATTTTGGATGTCTGGCCTCTAGAACTTTTAGGGGGTATTGTTTTAAGCCACTAAGTTTGCAGTAATTTATTATAGCAGCAATGGGAAACGAATACAATCCAAAGAAACTAGGAATTCAAACCACTGGTAAGCCTGAGTACCCAGGAGTCAGTCTAGGTGACAACAGTATCCACTGCTCAGGGGTTATGGTGACCTGCAGAAAGACGGGAATGCAGAGCAAGTGCTATGAATGAATGTGGAGATCGATTTATGGATTTTAAACCTCATGGCATGCTGCAGATAATCCTTTAGGCATATCTGTGGTGTAAATGGTGCCTCACGATGTTCTGAAGCAAACAAACATGATGTCCTAATAACTCAATTTATCAGTTCCTCATTAGCTCGTGTACTTACTGAAATTCTTTTAGCAGTTAGTGTCCCTGTATTAGTTTGTTTTCACACCACTGATAAAGACTGGTCAATTTACAAAAGAAAGAAGTTTATTGGACTTACAGTTCCACGTGGCTGGGGAAGCCTTACAATCATGGCAGAAGGTGAAAGGCACATGTCACATGGTGGCAGACAAGAGAAGAGAGCTTGTGCAGGAACATTCCCCCTAATAATAACCATCAGATTTGGTGAGACTTACTATCACAAGAAAAGCAAAGGAAAAACCTGCCCCTATGATTCAATTTCCTCCCACTGGTTCTTCCCACAAAACATGGAAATTCAAGATGAAATTTGGGTGGGGACACAGCCAAACCCTATCAGTCCCCTTCTTAAAACTCTCCTCTCATAGCTCCTATGATTGTATATTTGTAGTTCTCCTACCTCTCTGAAGAATCCTCAGTGAGGGTTTCTGGGGACAGTGTTTTGATTTGTTATGTTTGTTTGTTTGTTTTGCCATTTTTTTGAGATAGAGTCTCACTCTGTCACCCAGGCTGGAGTGCAGTAGCACCATCTCAGCTCACTGCAACCTCTGCCTCCCAGGTTCAAGCTATTCTCTTGCCTCATCCTCCCATGTAGCTGGGACTACAGGCATGCACTAGAACACCTGGCTGCTTTTTGTATTTTTAGTACAGACAGGGTTTCACCATGTTGGCCAGGCTGGTCTTGATCTCTTGACCTTGTGATCCACCTGCCGCAGCCTCCCAAAGCGCTGGGATTACAGGGGTGAGCCACCATACCCAGTCCTGTTATTGTGTTTATATTCAGATATTTAACCTATGTGAAGCCACCTTTGTAATACTGCTTTAAGTAAAAAGGCAATATTGTTTTTCTCCATAGAATGGGTTGGGTTTTTTAGCACCATTGACTACAAAGTCTATCCTTTCTCCATTCATTTGTGATGCAATTTTTAACATTAATTATAAAGAGGAAAAAAATTACTGTTTACTATACACACACAACACTTCTGACACGAAATGTGTGGGGTTTTTCACGCCAAGAAATTATCCAGTTCCCCAGTGCACACTGACTGAGTGCTCTAAAATTTAACACAGTTCTGACACCATTTGCCTGGAGTTAGTGCAGACTCCACAGATAAAGGGCTCAGTCTCACAAGACTGCCCCCCAACTGCAGAGGCCAATCACAAATTGTCAGTCCTCAAGTTATGCACAACTTTTGTTCAAACCAGAAATTTCCACATTCCCCTCCTCAGGTTCAATAGTTTGCTAGAACAGCTCACAAACCTGCAGAGATAATTTACTTATGATGATGGATTTATTGCAAAGGATACAGATGCACAGCCAGATGAAAGGGTAAGGTCTGGAAGGCTCCTGAGCACAGGAGCTTCTGTCCTTGTGGAGTCTGGAGTGCACCACCCTTCCAGCACATAGATGTGTTCTTGTTCACCAGTGCAGTAGCTCTAAACACCCTTTTAATTAGGGATATTTAATGGAGGTTTCATTGCATAGACATGATTGATTATTAATAAATGATTGGCCACCAGTGGTTAATTCAGCCTCCAGTCCTCCCCTCTCCAGAGGTCAAGAGGCAGGGCTGAAAGTTCTAACCCTCTAATCACGTGGTCGATTCCCTTGGCAACCAGCCCTTATTCTGTGGTTATCTAAAGGCTTTCCAAAACTCACTTTGCTAATATAAACTCAGGTGTGGTTGAAGGATTTGTTATAAGACATGTAAATGCTTCATGAACCAAGGACAAAAGACCAAATATTATATCAAAAGATGCTCATATTGATCTTATCACTTAGGAAATTACAAGGATTTTAGAGCTCTGTTCCAGGACCAGTGGACAAAAAGACCAAAATAAACAGTTGACCCTTGAACAACATGCTGGTAAGAAGTGCTAACCCCGGCACATCAAAAATCCACATATAACTTTTAGCTACCCAAAAACTTTACTAAAAGCCTACTGTTGACTGGAAGCCTTATCAATGACATAAACAGTCAATTAA